ATAGAATTAAAAAATAATTGAATTTTTCTACAAACTTTTTGAAGCCACCTCATACTTAGCATAATTTCAAATGAACTATTTGAAATATTGACTTACCTTGAAAAGTTGACATTCCAGAAAACATTAAAGTTCATCCTAGCCAACTTAAGTGTAGACAAGGAAGAAAATCCAGGAAAAAAAAAATAGAAGAAATTTTGGAGAAAAAATAAAAGAATATTGTCAATCTACGAACATTTATTGAAATGGCATCTACTGTGTAAAACATAAAGATGTCCTAAATTAAAGAAAATCACATTCATCAGCACTTCATCTCTCTGTGATCTGGGCAGAGATCTCCTCTGAAATAAATCATATATAATTTTTAAAGACTAATTTTTCTCTCTTAGACAAACCAAAAGTATCCTCGGGTCACTAAATCAACAATTAAGAGACAATAAGAGTTGCCTTCCAGATGTCCAAAGGGATCTATTAACAAATGAATGTCTTAAAGAGGGACATTGCTTCATCCCAAATGTTGTTACACTGCTTCTGTAAGACTTCATCTCATTTCATTGAAAAAACAAAACAGTGTCCCTTTTCCACATTGGGACATCTCTAAGGGTTTGTGGTCCTTCTCCCGTCCCATCAAAGTTTTTTCTCTCCTTGAAAGTATATGGTTAGGCAGAGACCCTTCTGTACAACCAAGGGTGAGCATCTTTAAAATAAAAGGTTAAACTTAATATAACTCATAGCATAAACAAGGGCTGAATAGATCCTTAGTTTATTGAGTGATGTGAAAATTGCCCATTGTCATGTGCAGCACTTGAACATTTTATTTCCATAATATCTAAAATTTTCATTTTCTTATTCTATGTGCTCATCCAATGATCCAAAGAGTCAGGAGGCAGAATTAAAAAGCATTGTTCTCACTGCATCTCAAGGAAGCTCGTGGCATGCTAGTCATTTTCTAGAAAGAAATGTCTCTTTGAACTTTTTATCTAGGTCTGAAAGGGACAATACAGGGAGATTAGATTTACTGGAACTGAGCTCTTTGCATCTCAAAAGCCGAAGCAATAGATGCATTTTCTATAGTCTCCTGAGTAAGTCAAAGGATTCCCACATTCTGAAAAACACAAATTAATTTCCTCTAAACCTCAAAAGTTCAGGACAGTTGACCCACAAGACTGTCAAAGCTCAGTCCCAGGCACAGGAAGTTTGGCTTGAGGTGGAGCCCCAGAACTGAGGCACTAGATAATGGTCAAGCCCAGCATGGAAGTTGGGCTTCTCCTGCTCAGAGCCTCATGGAAAGGAGGGCATATAAACATGAAGGAAAGAACAGGAGACATGAGAAAGCAGTGGCAAATAAAATCAGATTTGTTGTTGTTTTGTACCATGGAGTCAATTTCAACTCATAGCAACACTAAATCAGAAACCCTAGACAGGCTTAGGAGTCCTGGTGTGGCACTGTGGGTTAAGGCACGGGACTGTAAAGTCAATTTGAACTGCAAGGTCAGTGGTTCAAGGTCACCAACTGCTCCTCAGAAACCCTAAACAAAGTCACTATGGGTTGGAACCAACTGAACAGTATTTAGCAACAACATACAGTTTTAAATCATTATGGAAGTAGAAAGCTTCATCTTTGCCCGTTCAGCTACTGGTGGATTCAAACTGCTGACCTTAATGGTTAGCAGGCCAATGCCTAACAGTCTGCACCAAAATTCAGATTAGGATTATCTATTCCATTAGCCTATGGGAGAAATTAGATTGGGAGTGAAAAAGTTAGATGGGTTTGAGAGAGGACACCACAATGTGATTGATACTGGGATCCTACCCTGGTCATTTATGCTTCTCCACTTTTCTTAGAAGTACTGGTGTGGTGCTGTGGGTTAATGCGCCAGACTGCAAAGCCCTTTGAACTGCAAGGTCAGCGGTTCAAGCTCACCAGTTGCTCCTCAGAAACAGTGTATAGGGTCGCTATGGGTCGAATCCGACTAGATGGCACTTAATAACAACAATAACTTTTCTTAACCTGTCAACTGCAGTGAATGGTTTTATAACCAAGATAATAAGGTGCAGCTATTGGAGAGGACTTCTTTCTTCCTTTTGAAGTTTATTATTTATACTTGGTTGCTTTCCCATATGGATATGAAGAATAATTTATCCACAACATGACTATGTTGTTGTTGTTAAGTGCTGTCAACAGCAACAGATTTCCAGTGACTCTCATTTGGCTGAGATGAGTGGCACCACTGCACATGTAATCAGTGATTTAAAAATCGTATCTTGTGAATTGGCTAACCTAGAGAACCTTCATCTCAACATTTGCAGCTGGTTTCCTCTTCTTTGAGAAAGACTCTCATGAGTTTAATGCAGAACTGCTCCCATGTTTTCACTTTATATGACCTTCCAGTTGAGGTGCTAGAAGGCTTTAGTATGTCTGTCTGTTGTTTGTGGTCAATATGACATTTGCTGTGCTTCGCTGAATTACTCCAAATACTATATGGCATTGTTCTCAAATCCTACTTCTACTTAGTACAGATGACTCTGTAATCTTGGGCAAATGACTTAACCTCATGTGTCTCACTTTCCTGATTAGCAAAATGGAGATAACGAATAGAGCAGGTTGTGAGGGCTAAAGGAATTAATACACCTAACAACCACAACTTTCAAATGTTAAGTATTAAAATTTATGTCATTGTTACTAGCATTAGTAACATTAGATCATTAGATCTTCAGCACTTTACAGTTTCTAACTGTGATAACCATAGGATAAGCACTCCAGGTCAAGGTCGGTTTGAAACACAAAGTTGGTGGTTCAAACCACTGCAGTCAGACCTGATAACAGTTATTCACCATTGTACCACAAGGGACCTATACCCATCTCCTTTCATTAGCACCACCCAGGCAGATTGGATACCACCTATGGTCTTATGTAATTCAGAGGCTCCGCAGGAAGTCTCCTTCATCGGGCATGTTGTAGCATTTAGGTATTCCAATCAGTTATAGGCAGAAGATGGACTTACAAGATTTCTGTGGTGATATTTCTGGCTATTCCTTTCTCTCCCCTATTTGTTTGTTTTTGAAACTTTGTAAAACCAATAAAATTTTGAAAGAAAAAATCAATTTTATTTTAAGATTTCCCATACCATTATCTTCTTTTTGGGTGCCTTTGAATGATTCTAACTTATCACAACACCACATGACACAGTAAAACTGCCTCCTAGGGTTTTCTAGCCTACAGCCTTTACAGAGGAGTCCTGGTGTGTCACTGTAGGATAAGCACAAAGTCAGTGTGGACCACAAAGTTGACCATTCAAACTCACCATTCACCCCTCTGAAACCCTATACAAGATCACTGTGAGTCAGAAGCAACTTGATGACACTTAACAACAACAACAACAATCTTTACAGGAGGAGTTCTGGTGTAGCATTGTAAGATAAGCATGGGTCTACTAACTGCAAAATTGGTGGTTCAAAGCCACCAGCTATTCATCAGAAACCCTATACAGGGTTACTATCAGTCGGAGCCCAATTGATGACCCTTAACAACAACAATCTTTACAGGAGCAGATTGCCACAACTTTCTCCCACAGAGCCACCAACTTTGGCGTTAGCAGCTGAGTACTTAACCATTGAGCTGCCAGGATTCCTTGCTATTATCCTACATCATAATCATCGCATCATTTTTATAAAGTGTTTTGCAGCGTTTCATTATCTAAAATTGATTAAAAGCAGAGTGGTGATGGCTGAGTAGCTCTCATCTGCAAAACCTCCCACAGATGACAGCTGTAAGTTCTAGACAAGATATAAAAATTAACTATCTGGAAAGCAGCCATGGCAGGTAAATACTGGAGGGAAGATAATACTTGGGAAAAGGAGAACCATAGTGGGTATAGGTGCTTTTACCTCTCCCCACCCTCCGAGCACCCCTTTCCAGAGCAGAGTTGCTATGATGGCACTTGATGGCACTTAACAACAACAACCATAGATAAGTTAAGGAGCCCTGGTAGCATAGTGGGTTATGCTTTGGACTGTTAAACTGCAAGTTCAGGAGTTCAAATCCATGAGCAGTTCTGTGGGACAAAGATGTGGCTGTCTGCTCCTATTAAGATGTACAGTCTTGGGAAACCCCTATACAGGGTCACTATGCACCAGAAATTACTTGATGGCACACCACCATGAATAAACTCTTCAACCTCACTATAACTGAGGCTCCAAACTGGTTCCATTGTAGCTAATGCAGCAAAATTAGAACAGATCCGAATTTTTTTTTTTATTTGTTTAGATGAAGCAGAATGATAACTAGAATGGGAAAAATTATGGCTGAAGTCCTGGCATGGGAGACTTGGAAGAGGCATAGTGAGCCATTTCAGGAGCCTAATTTGGGAGACTGAGTTATTGCCTGGACTGTGGAGCGTGACACACATTCAAGCAGCGCAGTTGGCCTCCATCTTTGAGGAGAGAACCATTGTTTCCAACTCTTCCAGTCAAGAGACTTGGTTGCTATCAACACACACTATGCCCTTGCTTTCTGAGAGGGAAATTAAGTTTCTAGCAGGGCATCTACCTATCACTGTTCCCATTCCAGTTAGCCCCCACATTTAAAATTCCGATCTCTTCCAATTTCACTTCATCAGCCATGACAGATCCAGAAAGAACTGGTTTGAAGCATTGGTTGTAATTCAGCTTCTTCAGCTATAAAATGGAGACATCAGTTAATACTCAGCTGATAGAGTAACTGTGAAGATTAAATAACATATATAAAGTACCTAAACAGTGCCTGCACAGTATAAACTTCATACAAGTGTCCGCCGCCACCATCATGGTCATCATAGCCAATCGTTTCTGAATGAAGAAACTAGGTTGTAAAATAAAAGTAAAAATCACTAAATAAACATTTTTTTCTCTGGCGAAACAAACATTTCTGCAGAAAACTTTTGGTTTTTCGAAATGGTGTCTTAAGGTGTATGTCAGACGCTTGCCCATGTTTTTCACTGAGTATCTTCATTTCTCTCTTACAGATTAGCTGCAAAGTTTTGCATTTTTTTCACCAGTACATGATGGCCTGCAATTACTTCTGGATGCTGTGTGAGGGGATCTATCTGCACACCCTCATCGTGGTATCAGTGTTCACTGAGGAACAACGCTTACGGTGGTATTACCTCTTAGGCTGGGGTATGTATTTCCTCCAACTGAGTTCTGAACCACCTTTATCTCTGTCTTTCTGTTTACAGTCTTGTTGGAGTCTTGTTCTCAGAAAGCAGAGTGAGGAGCCCAATTCCTTTGGGGAACCAAGGGGCGCAGGGACTGGTGGAGCTCCTAGAAGGCTTTGCAAGATGCTAGGCTTCCCCTTAAACAACCCAATGTGTATAGGAAAGATTATAAGTTTGTCTTCAGAAAACAAGCTCAGCTCAAAGATGGAAGCAAACCATCCACAGGCTGATTGAAAGAGGATCTGAATAGGGCTTCTTCCATTTTATCCATCACATGTGTGTATTTTTTTGAATTCTGTGCCTCCACACCCCGGCCTGTATCAAATGCTACCTTTTCCTACTCTTCCCTGTCCTCAAAATAGGCCAGAATGCAAAAAAAAAAAAAAATTTTTTAAAAAGCTCATAATAACCTTTTATTGTGGGTATTGTTGTTCTTATAGGTTCAGCCGTATACCAAAGGCTGATCATCCCTTCTTAGCCTGATGCAGACCTCCTTAATAATTTCTAGGTTTCCAAAGATTGTCATGCTAGGATTCAGCTACAAGTAAATCTCCTCAAAGTAATAATTTGCTGTTGTTGTTAAGTGCCATTAAGTCGGTTCCAACCCATAGCAACCCTGTATAAGGTTCCAAGGAGCATCTGGTGAGCTTGACCCACTGACCTTGTAGTTCAAACCAACTTTGCAGTCCAACGCATTAGCCCACAGTGCCACATCAGGATTCCCAAAGTAGTAATAGCAATTCTGATTATCACTGGCAATGTTTGGTGCTGGTCAGGTACCTTCTATTCGTTGCTGTTAAGTGCCATCAAGTCAGTTCCAACTCAGAATGACCCTGTTTCTGAGCAGCTGGTGAGTTTGAACCGCTGATCTTGCAGTTCAAACTGACCTTGGAGTCCAGTGCTTATCCTACAGCACACCCCATTCCAGACCCACCACCACATATGTAAGCAATGATACCAGTTGCAGTTCAGTCAACACCATGTGTGCCATAGTAGAACTGTGCTGCATAGGGTTTCAGTGACTGATGTTTCAGAAGTGCATCACCAAGTATTTCATCCAAGGTACCTCTGAGTGGATTCAAGCTGCCTAGATTCCATCACGTGGGTGCATACACACTATTTCTGCAGCCTCCATTTCACTGATTTCCTTTTAAATAAAGTGTCTGACTTACTTCTTACACTACTTTTGACTGTTCAAAAACATGTATCTGCCACACTCAGAAAATTTTCCATGGAAGGAAAGGGCTGTAAATGTATTCTTGCCTGTATTACTATGTGGAGACAAGTGTTCCCTGGAAGAAAGTTGACCTAGCTCTTACACACTGATGCATTGTGAATTCCTTTAAGATTTTTAGCACTATCATAGACAGTTCAATGAAGACATTTGCTTAGCACACCTAATCAATTTTAAAGGAAACACAACAACAATAAACTGTTCCGCTGTGTCAAAATATAGGTAATAATAAGTAAAATATTTATGTGCTACCGTAACACTTTTTAATCAATACACATTTAAATTTTTATCAGAATGTTTCAAATAGGGTCCTAAAACAAAACAAAACAAAACAAAAAAACACACTGCATTGAGTAAAGAATTTACTGTTTAAAAGAATGAAAGAATGAAAGGGATTTGTATTTCCATAGGTAGATATTTGGATAGTAGTCAACCAATATGGTTCTGAAATGTTATGATTTTTTAAATGTCATGCTAATCTATATCTTTCTCCATTCCTACTCACACACACACACCAAAATTCCACCAAACCCCTTATCATTGAAAAAAATCACAGTATCAAATCTCAACTTTGGAGGGGGGGGAATGAAAGATAGATAAGATGAGATATATTAAAATCAATAGCTTACTTCTGGAACTTTAGCTAAGCATGATCTTTTGATGATATAATAATAATAAACCTCTGTTCCTATATGGTCTAAATCCGATTAAATAATATTTTATTATGCGTGGATACATCTAAGAGTCTATTTTATACAAAAATCACAGCTTTACTGTTGATTACAGATAAAGAATTCAATTTTTTTTTTTAGTGTAACCTGGCAGAATCCAATGCCAGTAACTATCTTTAATGTTCTGTTTGTGAATTAAAAGCTGTTGCTTAGTGACACTTCGAGTTTCGTCAGGGAAAGTGCACACCAAACTGCCTTAAAAAAGATTCTACAGCCAGAACATACTGGCTGTCCTAAAATGTTCCTTAAAATAACAAAATGGACATATATAGTCTAAACAGACAGAAACACAAAAGGCCTATTACTGTGAACAGCAACTATGACATTAATCACAATCAGAGTCTGTCTACCTTAAGTTGCCCTAGGTCATTTTCCTCCAAGGTGACCTAGCTATCTCCAGTAAGAGAGCTCAGTTTGCCCTCGGTGACAGGCTTTCTGGTTTCAATCAACAGCCATCATCATCATCATCATTACTGCAAACATAACAGTGGTAATAATAGTCAGAATAAGAGTAATCATGTACCTACTCTGCCAGCTAATTTGTGACAGGATGTTAATTGTCTGAATGCTCTTAGTCGAGTGCTCTGAAAGCACATGTTTTAATTGAGAGGATTTTTAGCTAGTCTGACCAAAAATAATTTGTGCAAAAACATCAAGAAGATATCTTAACAGAGACATAATTTGCCACTATTTTTGCAAATAAAAGTACTCTTCTCTATATGCCTATCGCTATATTTCCATGTAACTTCAGACCCAGAAACCAGGAGTGACTTGTATTTTTTCACCTTTTTAGGATTCCCGTTGCTGCCAACCACGGTTCATGCTATTACTAGGGCACTCTATTTCAATGATAAGTAAGTATTATGGGGGTTTTCAGGTTATAACTGTGTTCAATAATATACACTTTACTGACGTGCCCCCTCTTTTTCAGCTGCTGGCTGAGTGTGGAGACTCATTTGCTGTACATCATCCATGGCCCAGTCATGGCAGCTCTGGTGGTGAGAACTGCTTTTAAAATCCATTATGACAGTATCATCTATGTTGGAGTTGTTATGAACAATTTGACTTATGAATCTTCAACAAAAATATTTTTAATTTTTAGCAGTTTGAGTGTGGGGGCGGGGGGGGGGGGGGAGACCATAACCTTATTTCTAGATATGTCATAACAGTAATGTAGTTGATTCTTTAAAACCTCTATAACTAAATTCTATTAGGTAAAAGTAAAGACCAAGGGACTGTAAAAATGGTGAAAAGGTATTGCTAATAAAGAAAAGCAAGACTACAAAATGCACGGCATCCCTTGAAACTTTTTCCCCAGGCTCTACCAAACCTAGCTACCTTCTGTTTCATCTTTGGTACATAGACCATCATCACCACCACCACTGGGTCACACACTTGAAATATATCAGGCACTTCAGTTACATTACCACCATTTTTAACCGCAACACTGCAAAGTAGATATCTCAAGACATTTTACCCATTAGGAAAATTAAAAGACGACTCAACTCACCCAAAATAACACAACAGTAAAAAGTCAGGATGGGAAGAATAAGTCTGTCTGAATCTGAATCCAAGCTCTTTATTTCTCCCCATAGTTTGCTACACGTTGACTGGCATCAGAGCCATCACATTTAATATTTAGACATTATTTTCTGTTAACCTCAAAGACAGTGCTTTTTGTTTTTGTTTTTCAGGTAAATGTAAGAAAAATAAAAGCAATTAGTCATAAGCCACATTCTTTTCCTGCACAGATTAAGCATCCATTTCACAACAGGAACTCTTATACATTCTGAGGGAAATATAAAATTTGTCACCCCTTTGGAAACAATGACAGTTTCTTAAAGATAAACCTAGACTTATCATGTGAGCAAGCAATTCCCCTCCTAGTCTTATTAAAGAGAAACAATCACATATATCCAAACCAAGACTTATGCACACATGTTCATAGCATCTTTATTCATTACAATGAAAAAAAGTAAAACAACTCAAATTCCCATAAAAAAATGGAAACAAATTCCATACAGTGGAATTCTGCCCAGTAATAAAAATGAATGAAATGCTAATACATACAACAACCTGAAAGAATCTCACAAATACTAGGTGAAGTAAAATAAAGTCAGACACAACTATATAATACTCCATTTCTAGGGTGATAGTACTAGTGACTGCTTGTATTAGGGATGGACCATGAGGGTGGAGGAGAGCAAAGTGGCAGGAAGGAGCTTTCTGGGGAGATAGAAATGTTCTTTTTCTTATTTGGTGTGGTCATTAGATAAGGGCATGCATTTGTTTAACATTATTGAATGTACATTTGATATCTGCATTTTATTAAATGCAAATCATCCCTCAATGAAGTTGTTTTCTGTTGGGGGCAGCTGAGCCAAAGGTCCCTGGCTTGGGCGTAGTTTAACCGAAGGATTGCAACGGAACAGTTGTGATCCAGAAACTCAGGATGCTTCCAAGTCAAAGTCCTCTTCCCCCCTCCCCTGAGGAACTTGCAGGGCTGCCTCATGGGAAAGGGAACTTGCAAGGTCTTTGCTTGTATTTAACTATATCCTTCAGCTCAGCCTGCACAACATTCTAGGCACTCTAATCAGTGTTCCAGCTAGCTTCCACAAATTACAATTTTTCTGATAAAGTTCAGCTTACTGCTGGCTCCTTCAGTACAAGATGTTCTTATATTACTTACCCTCCCTCAAGCACTTCCCCTTGAGCTGTGTATAAAATAAAAGTGCTGCCTTTGTCTGTGTAGCAGTATCTCCATCAGAGTGCTGCGTCCCACCTGGTTGCAACTATTCTATATTTCAGATGTTTCTTGTGTCTTTCTTTTATTTCTCATCTCCCATCACCCCTACTTGGGTTTAATCTCTCCATGCGGGTCGCAGAAATAAGCCAATTGTCGGCTGCGGCAGTTGGCCCCAGATGTGTTGGCTCCAGCAGTTGTGTTGGCTCCAGCAGTTTTCTAAATAAATTATGTAAAAATTAAAGTTATATTTGTTGACTCTACTACATAAACTTTACAGATAAAATTTTAAATTCTCATCTTTCAATTCTCATCTCGTCATCAACTTTACTGACTGCAAACCTTAAGGTCAGCAGTTCGAAACTACCAGCTGCTCCGCGGGAGAAAGATGAGGCTTTCTACTCCCGTAAAGATTTACACCCTCGGAAACCCTATACAGGGTCACTATGGGTCGGAACCGACTCGATGGCACTTAACAACAACAACAACAAAAGTCAAGAAGGCAATATCTAAAAGTATCATTTGTGACTTCCTTTTGCAAAACTCATAAAAATCAAAATACAAATTAAATGGTATTTATTTTTAGTTGAGCCCAATGTCTTTACATATATTTTTTTAAAAAACCCATTGCCATTGATTCAATTCCAAAAAAATTTTATTTTTCTCGTTTCGAGGAAAAAAAATATTAATAGAGGTCAGAAAAGAGTCTTTAGTGACACTGAAACACAGTGTCCCAGAAACGTTGAGTAAATTGTACTGTTTCTCACATTCTACGCAGTAGACATCTGTTCACCACACAAGGAAAGCCTTATTTTATACTTATCAGGGTGATTAGTTCATAACATTGTCTCTTTCAGGTGAATTTCTTCTTTTTGCTCAACATCGTCCGTGTGCTGGTGACCAAGATGAGGGAGACCCATGAGGCAGAATCACACCTGTACCTGAAGGCTGTGCGGGCCACTCTGATCCTTGTGCCACTACTGGGCATCCAGTTTGTGGTCTTTCCCTGGAGGCCATCCAACAAGATGCTTGGGAAGATCTATGATTACTTCATGCACTCCCTGATCCATTTCCAGGTGAGGCTCCCACAAGATACTCATTCATCTACTTGCTTTGCTAGTCAATGGAGGAAGAACAATTTTCTGGTGCTTATCTGTGCTTAGAAGGATACTTCCAAATACATGTTGACCCAGAAACGGTATAGCACCTCTCTGTGTTTCTCACTATCTGCTTTCCTATTCCTTGTATCTTAAAACTGAGGAAGAAAATGAAAGGCTTTGAAAACACATCTTTATGAAGACAAATATTTTCCCCAAAACTGATGTATCACACAGTGCTGAGGGCAATCTTATATCAACATTTCCTTTCCTTCTCTGATCTTCTGATTGCCATATTTCATTGTTTTGTGTTTTTTTTATGAAGGGAAATTTTTATTATTTCGTTTTGTTTTCTAATTTTTATTGTGAATTGAGTGATGATTTTCAGAGTAGATTCATCAGTTTTATATTCAACAAATCATACACTTGTTTCATCTTGATTTCAGTCCCCTCAGTATAACATCACTTATCCCACTTCCTTCTTGTATATCTCGCTTCTATTCTTCTTTCTTTCCCCACCCTTCAGAATTTAGTTTCGAATGGTTGATCATTCTATGGGGTGGTACCTCACTAGTGTTGTTGTCCCCTACACACCCATCCATTGCTTGGCTGAAAATTGAGGCATGGGGGCAACTTTAGTTATGGAGCGAAGTCTTGAAAACCAATGCAACCATTGCCAATTATCGGTCTCCCATACCATGAGACAAGGAGAGAAGGGAAGCAAGTGTCTGTATTGTAGTATGAAATGCCTCCTCTGAAACCCCAGGCTGGGGGCTCTGTCCCTATTAAATTAGACCACAGTTTACAATACATGATTTTGCTACGTAGGTCCTAAAAAGAAGCATAAAGATATAACAAATACCTTCCAGTGTAGTGACTTCTGCAGTATTATGTGACACAGTACTGAACAGGTATGACTGACATTTTCTCATGACCTGATAAAAAGATGTTATTGTCACTATTAGGTGCCACTGAGTTGATTCTGACTCATACTGACCCTACATGTAATGGAATAAAATGCTGTCCAGTCCTGCACCATTCTTACAAATTTTGCTATATTTGATCCATTGTTGCAGTCACTGTGTGCACCTCATAGAAGCTCTTCCTCTTTTAGCTTGACACTCTGTTACCAGGGCCTGGTTCCTGCTGATAACTAGTTCCTCCAATTTATGTAAGAATGAACTTTTACTGTCATCCCTTCTAAGAAGCATTCTGGCTGTACGCTTCCAAGACAGATGTGTTTATTCTTCTATCAGTCCATGGTATAATCAATATTCTTCAACAATACCATAATTCAAAGGAATCAGCTAGTTTTCAGTCTTCCTTATTCATTATCCATCTTACACATGTATGTATATGAGGTCGGGTCATTGAAAATACAGTGGCTTGGGTCAGGCGCACCTTTGTTTTCAAAGTGACATCTTTGCTTTTTAACACTTTAAAGAGGCCTTTTAAATAAAGTTGCCCCAAGCAATACATCCTTTGATTTCTTGATTGCTGCTACTATTTGTCAAGGACTACGGATTTAAGTAAAATGAAATAATTGAAAACTTCAATATTTTTTCCATTAATCGTGGTGTTGTATATTGGTCCAGCTGGGAGGATTTTTGTTTTCTTTACACTGAGATGTAATTCATATTGAAGGTTGTAGTCTGAGCTTCATCAGTGTTTCAAATTCTCATCATTTTCAGCAAATAAAGTTGTATCATTTACATATCACAGGTTGCTAATGAATTTTCCTCCAGTCTTGATGCTGCATTCTGCTCAATATAGTCCAATTTCTAGGATTATTTGCTCAGCATACAGATTGAATAAGTAAGGTGAAAGGATGCAATTTTGATGCACACCTTTTCTGACTTTAACCCATTCAGTATCTCCTTCTTCTGATCCAGTAACTGCTTCTTGGTCTATGCACAGGTTCCACATGAGCACAATTAAGTGTTCTGAAATTTCCAGTCTTTGCAATCTTATCCATAATTTGTCATGATTCAGAAAGTCAAATGCCTTTGCATTAAAGTAAAAAACAAGAAAAAAAAAAAAAAAGGTAAACATCTTTCTGACATTCTGTGCTTTCAACTAAGATCTATCTGATATAAGCAAGGATATCTCCTTATTCTCTGTCCTATTCTGAATCAGATATTAAGAAATCAAAGGATGTATTGCATTAGGCAAATCTTCTCATTCTGAGCCATGCCACATCAGCAAATGAAAGTCCTGGATGCTTTACTCTACCTGCATCATTAACATTAACTCTACTTTGAGGACCTAAAGGTTGGTTTTAACCACAAGGTCAGCAGTTCAAACTCATCAGCCCCTCCTTGGAAACCCTATAAGGGTCACTATGAGTCAGAACTGACTCTACGGCACTTAACAACAACAACTACAACTACTTTGAGGATCTTCCAATCTGAGGGGCTCATCTTTTGGCATTCTATCAGAAAATATTCTGCTGTTATACATATGGTTTTCACAGGCCAATTTTTTAGTGGCTCTAAATGTCCTCTTTCTTAGTTTGTCTTAGTCTGGAAGCTCTGCTGAAATTTGTCCACCATGAGTGACAGTGTTCATATTTTGAAACACCAGTGTCATAGCTTCCAGCATCACAATAACACATAAGCCACCACAGTGTGACAAATTGACAAATGAGTGGTGGAAAAGATAATCAGAGCTACTATTTATGAAGCATTTAATGTGTAAGCAAAGTATAATTATGCCCATTTTACAAGTAAGGAAATGGAACTTTCTTATTAGTGGCTAAGTCTTACTTTAATGCCCATGATCTTAGCACAATATCATAACTTACAGCTTTCAGTAAACAAGTCCAGCTGAAATTGTGAAGAAAAATTAATTTTTTGAGGCACATTCTAGCTTCTATTTTCATTGCCTGCTTTCCCATTACTCCCAGGATCCTCAGTTGGTCCCAGTCAGGCATGTTCTTTTTGGTCACACATGCAGCAATTTCCAAGCCCTACTTTCATTACTAAACATGAATGCATTTACCATGAGGGTTATTAGATTTGCAGAGCTATCCAACTCTCCTTCTCTGTCACCCTCCATTTATCAGAAGATGTTGGGAGCCTAGGGGGTCATTGACTATACAGTGAAGCACATCCAGTTCTCTCCTTATGAAGAAGAGAATAGATTGGGCTCTCAGGGGGTACCGTAGGCAGCCAAGCATCTGCCACATAAGAGAGGAAATTGACTTCTCGATTTCCATTCTTCTGCCCCAAATCTAAAGCTCCATTGACAACATGGTGCTGGGAGTGTTGAAAGCTATGTGGGACATAACTATCTTAAAGACGATGGTAGTTCTGCCACAGACTCTTAGTCCCGAGTTTTGCTGTATCTGTTATAAATTTCAAATTAGTTGTGTTTCCAACCTCTGGAATTTAATGTGAGAAGGAGATGAATTGGCTAAAAGGAAAGTTTGGGAATATTTTTAATTATCTGTGTTAATGTGCTGGCCATTTCTATAGTTAAAGCTTGGATGCAATGAGCTTCTGAGTAGTGACCAGGACTTTAGAGGTCACTCGGTCAACATTCTTATTAAAAAGTTGAACTTTGATGTGAATACTGCTCTAATTCACCAGGATGACAATGGATATGGTCAAACTGTAGCCACGAATAGTGACATTTGTGCTAGTGAAGATGTCTAAACATTTCTCTAGCTAACTCTATACAATCAAATCTCAGTTTAAAAAAAATTTAAGTACAAAAACTCTTTTCAAATCCATGTAATCAACAAACTCTTCAGTAAACCTCCATGTTAAAGGGGCACTATCTAACCCCGACCCAACGGCACTTAACAACAACAACAACAACAACAATCTAACCCAAACTTACTAGTGCTGCCGTTTTACCCAAACAATTGAATCCTAACAAGAAAAATACATTCTTATTCAATATTTTTGTAGCATAGCACTGATTATGAGTTGTGGATAATTATGTTTCTTGTCTTTATACTTCTTCATCCAGCCTTGACTTGCTATTGCACTGGAGAAATTTGCCTCTTCAGTCTATTTATATTGATTACTTAGTAACCATACAAAGTCCTTTCAACTCTATTTTCCCTCCTCTTTTTTAGGGATTTTTTGTGGCTTCTATCTACTGCTTCTGGAACAATGAGGTAAGCATGCATTTCATATAATACTGTCACCTGTTTATATGAAGCTGGCACTCTGCAAAGACCTCACACACATTTCACTTGATCTCACCTTGACAGCTTGCCATGTAAGGGTTCAGGGCTTCCAGGACCAGGTTGTTTCCACTATTCCAAGCTGAATTTTAATACAATCATAGATTTCCAGGATAGACATACACATTTTAATTTTCTTGGGTTGCATCTTGAGCTGATCAGCCTCCCTCCACAGCAACAGCACAACCTATTCTATATGCCTGTAGAAAAAAGAAATCATGTCCCCATTTTATTTGGTTCTCCCCATCCCTCGCTATAATCAACAAACTCTAATCTCACCATCAGCAGTTTGAAACTGCCAATGGTCCCATGAGAGAAAGATGAGGCTTTCTGTTCCTGTAAAGATTTACAACTTAGGAAACTCAATACGGGGTCATTGTGAGTCAGTTCCAACTCAATGGCATACCACCACCACCACCATCCCTCACTAGGGTAGCGTCATCTCCAGTATGTTTTTACTGGTTGACTATTTTCTTTCCAGTTGGTTGGTGACTGCATTAAAACACAACATTTAAAAAATAACCCAGAAGTAAGACTTAAAAAGGATTCCCTAGTAAATAATTTGTTATCTGAATACTTAAGTCAGTAGAATCTATAGATCCACATGGCTATTGTTTTCATGTATTTTTAGCAAGAAAACCTCTTATCCAACCAATTCTTTCCTGTACCAGGTAAGAGTGAAGCTGCTCTAGCTTCCAGAATGTCTTTCATGAACTGTCAGGACCTCAAGGAACATAATTAGAAAATGCACTCATTTTTTATTGGAGAAATTGAACTTGAATAAGGTCATGTGACATGTCCAATGTATAGTCATCGTTATGGTAATAAGTAAGATTGGAACCCAGACTTTCTAGTTCTCAAGTAAAAAAAGCCATCCACTTCATTATGTTCTGCCTATGATTCCTCCATAGAACTTTGTTATTACACTTTTCCTAGGTCCAAGGAACCTAGGACATTTTAAAGCTTAACATCTTTTAGTAATAATTCTATACCAACACAAACCATATTTAAAAGATTTAAATATTATTTTCCTGTTAGTAATTAAAAAGGTTTTTCTAACCTTAACCAGTTATTGAGTTTATTCTCTATTCTTTAAGTCAAATAATATTTACTGAGTACCAACAATATTTTGCTTCTCTGCAATCTGTCAGTTGTCTCCAACCTAAACATCACAATTCCTTCTTTCCATTAGTGCTTGTCTTCCTTCCTTCCTTCCTTCCTTCTTTCCTTGCTGCTTCCTCCCTCTAGCCACCAAATCCCATCATTCAACAAAAATATATTTACACTCACTGTTTCTAGATGCCTGACTAGGGGTCTGGGATAAAGATGAAAAAATTTCTTCTGTTAAATTGTACTTTTCTTTCTTTCTTTTTTTAAAAACAGCAAAAATTAATGATTTACAAATCAATAGTGCTTAAATCATTCCATGATTTATATCAATTTTGTGACTGTATATCTATGCCTTTTAAGTTTTTTCAGATGCTATAAATTTTTCATCTAAAATAATATCAATGCAGTCCCCTCAGTTTGACCACTTGACCTACTTCCTCACTGTGTGAACTACAAATGTGAACTTTTTGACGTTGTTTGATGTCATATGCCAATATTTGTAAGTTCTGAATTACTTGGTGAACCAATATTTCCCAAGTGATATTACAAAATTACACATGGCTAAAACTCAGTATGAGACCAGTTAATTTTAATAGAACAGTACAAAAATTTTATCAATGTGGTTTGAGTTTCATTTTAACTAATCATTAAGGAAGTATCATTTGCAAAGTTTCGCTGTAGTTTCAAATAAATCTAGTCACAGATATCTGGAATGATAATAAAATCTTCCTTTTCTCCTTAACTCAAAATTATCCCTTGAAGTCTTCTTAAAACCAAACAGTAGTTTAGATTAACTAGTAAAGAGTATCTGCCTGAGCACTGTGCTCTATAAGAACTATCTATAGAGGATCAAACAGACAAGAATTTGAAAGATCAGATAGAAATCTCAGGAGGCAGGGAGTTTGTTAATAAAGAGGGAACGTCTCAGAAAAGGAGGGAGAGAATGCTTATACAACTCCAAGAATATAATCAATATCTCTAAATTGTACTTGTGTATGTTCTGCTAAGTGTAGTCTCAACAAAATAAAATTATAAGAAAAAATTTAATAAGATAAAATAATATCAAATAAGGCTAGCCAAAAAAAAAAAGGTTTAGGAGAGATGCTTCTTAAAAAGCATAAGAAAATAGTATGCATTTGTAAGCAAAATGCAATACTTAACTGTGTCTTAACTGGGATGCCATAGCCAGAAGTCAGACATAGAAAGAAATACAGAGGTACAAATGTTTCTAGTTCATTTGAGAATGATACTTCTGCTTTTTGAAGAAAAGGAATCATTTCCATTTTAATAAAGATCAACATTGAGAAGTATGAGTATTCCAGAACACTTAATTGTACTTTTGAGGAATCTGTACCTGGAGCAAGAAGCAGTCGTCCGAATAGAGAATGGGAACACTGCATGTTTTAAAATTGGGAAAGGTGTGCGACAAGGTTCAGTTCTTTCACCATACTTATTCAACCTGTATGCTGAGCAAATAATACAAGAAGCTGGGTTCTATGAAGAAAAACATGTCATCAGGATTGGAGGAAGACTCATTAACAACCTGCGATATGCAGATGATACAAC